TTAATTATCCACCCACCCCTTACTCCCTGTAAGTCACCTTCTAAGGTAATGGAAAAAGGTGGAGATTCAAGGATGGGATCTTTACCTCATTGCTTTCAATGAGGTCAGTTTCCAAACCAGCTGGGAGTTATTACCCATTCCACTGGTCAGCTTTTTAAGTCCACAACTCCTGCCTTTTTCTGTATGATTTTACTTCTGGCAAAAGAGGGAATCTATGTGCAGGAAAGGTCACACTGAAATGAACTGAATGGATAATTGACCTCACTAAAGTTACAACTTGTTAAAGCCCAAGCCAGTGAGAACTAGAGATCAGTTGGCCTTACAAATTTTGTCACGGGGACACAAACTTCAATGCATAACATTCGTCCTAGATATTTTTCTCATTATTCTTTTTCATTTCATGCCGTATGTACCTCAGGAGTATTTCCTGTGTTCTGACTGGTAATTTAGTCATGTTTATTCTGGCCAGTAGTGGGTTCGTCTCTGTAATTCTTTACCTGACAACTGGCAGTTGACTCTTTCTCTCCTCTTGTTATTTCATCATATCCTGTTGGTTTCATCATGTGCTTTTGGTTTCATATATCAACATGAATTTTCTTAGATCACAGGGAGCTCTTTTATTAACTCCTTATTTCTGAGGAGTGTAATATCCACAAGTAGTATTTTTAAATCATTCTTGTAACATTGCAATCTATTTGTTAACACCTGGCAAGAATAATTCAAATTATAATCTTCCTTTATTAATTAAGGAAGGATCTTCAAGAGGTGGCCAATTGATTCAATGTTAAATAATCTTAACAAGAATTTTGATTGTATTTTAAGTATCTGTAAGATATCAAATGACTACCACAGTGATAGTCATACAATATGTTTTTGATCTTTTATTTTTTAAGTTCTAAATGAAATGAAGCTGGAGTTCAAATAGTACTACTGCATGAGGCAATGTCAGGCATTCATAAACATTACGCATCATAAAATCAACATCCATGATAGAAAAGGAGGCAGCATTTGGGTTGGGAATTATGCAGATTGGTTGATTGCTGCAGAATGGCTAAGCTGCAGTTATGATAACTTTTCCTCTGTATTTTTGGTGTATGTCCTCTGTTTGTTTACAGCTGAACATTTCCATGCATTTTTGAGGAACATGGATTTATAAGATTTATAACCACATACTGTGCCATCTACTTTCTCTAACAGTTGGTTTCCTAAATGAATTGGCAACTAGGCATATCACAGTAGTGTTTTGTTTTATTTTCTATGCTGTTAGAAATAGTTTGCTTTTGAACAGAAAATGAAAATCTTTGTACTGAAAGTGGCTTTTAACGAATCTTAAGTGCCGTTACTCCTAAAAAAAGGACAAGACATGTTTTGAATAATTTACTGGTACTAAAATGTCACATTTTTGAGACATCTATTTTATGGTTTTTCTGAATATCTGAGTGAAGCACCTCTCTGGAATTTAATAACTTGTGTCTCTGCATTCCTAAGTAAACAATAAACTGTCTTCCTTTTTGAATAAAAGTTGCCATGACAACTTGGCTAGTGTGGGCTATAGAAGTCAAATACCAAGCTCTGATATTTCAAAGATGTGATATTGTTTTTGGCAGCTCTGATTTAAGTAAAATTAAAGATGTATTTTCACATGGCTATATCAGTGGTGGATATTTGTAATTAGACTAATCATGTATGTTTTTGCAGATAATTCATTAAGTACAATGATATCCTTGTTCTTTATGACAACTTCAAGATTCTTAGCTAATCACAGAAATCCAGAGATGAAGGAAAATGCCAGGGTTATTTTACAAATGCTAATTTCAAAAGTGATACTGAATTGAATTCAGAAATTTTGACATTTTAAAGAAAACATCTGTTTAGTAATTCTAGAAAAATTTTGCAGCATCATGGAATCTATTATGTAATTAATCTAAAGAATACATCTTTAACTTCAGTGTTGCTGAAATCTTTGTAATAACACTGTCAATATGGACAAAAATTTACATTTTGATATAAGCACATCGAATATTTTCTTCAAAACCACCGTTTTATACCATTCACTGAAAAATTAAATGAATTATTATTTCAGATAATTTAATTTTTAATTAAAAAAATTCAGTGAATGGTATTAAAGAGTGGCTTTGAAGAAAATATTCAATGAATTGAACTCTAGGTGGCCTTGTTCAAAGATGCTTCAGTTTGCTTGCCTGCCTGCCCGCCGACCCTCCCTCCCTTCCTCCCTTCCTCCCTCCCTCCCTTCCTTCCTTCCTTCCATGGAGTCTCTCTCACTCTGTTACCCAGACTCACTGCAACCTCTGCCTTCCGGGTTCAAGTCATTTTTCTGCCTCAGCCTCCCAAGTAGCTGTGACTACAGGCATCCGCCACTATGCCTGGCTGTTTAGTATTTTTAATAGAGACAGGTTTCACCATTTTTGCCAGGCTGGTCTCAAACTTCTAACCTGAGGTAATCCACCCACCTTGGCCTCCCAAAGTGCTGGGATACAGGCGTGAACCACCATGTCTGGCATGCAATTCCTTCTTTAAGCTATGTCTTTGCTTCATCTTCAGGCAGAGTTTTTTCATGGTAGCAAAATGGAGGCAGTGGTTTGAGGTCTCACACCCACACATCTCAGCAATCAGAATGGGAAATGATCTCTTCTCTGCCTAAATTCCTGAATGTCTGAGTAAGGAATTTGTTCCTTCTTAGGTTATCTGCTCTTGCATGCCACCAACCACTGTGGCCAGTGTAATGACATGAGCAAAGTGGCTTGTGCCCAATGTCAGGGAAGATTTCCACCTCCAAATCTTACAGTGGTGAAGCCAAGACAGCATAGAGAAGTTGCATATGTAGGAGACACATGCACAGTGTGTTTCACCCTCAGACAACCCAAACTATCAGTGTCATTATGCGGTTCTGAAACAGAGGGAGGGTGGGACACCACTGAGGTTTCAGACATCTTCGGGACTTCATGTTCTTCCTTCTTCTTTCCTTATATCTACTTTGTTCTTCTTCCACCAATAAAGACCTTTCTTTTTTTCACTAAGGTGTACATATAATTTGTTTGCCCTATACCCAGAGTTTAATTGCAGATATAGCTAGGATTTTGTTTTTTTTTTGAGATGGAATCTCACTCTGTCTCCCAGGCTGCAGTGCAGTGGCATGATCTCGGCTCACTGCAACCTCCACCCCCAGCATTCAAGCGATTCTCCTACCTCAGCCTCTTGAGAAGCTGGAATTGCAGGCACGTGCCATCACACCCAGCTAATTTTTGTATTTAGTAGAGACTGTGTTTCACCATGTCGGACAGGCTGGTCTCAAACCCCTGACCTTAGTGATCCACCCACCTTTGCCTCCCAAAGTGCTGGGATTACAAACTTACTGTTACCATTCAACCACTATTTTCAACATTTACATTTTGGGTTATAGTCCTTATTTTAGTCACGAGGCAAAATCTGTTTAGAATTCTGCATGGAATATTCTTTTCCTCTTTGTAATCAGTTTCTCTACACACACACACACACACACACACACACATATATATATATGAGTCCATATGTGTATATATATATATATATATATATGAGTCCATATATATACATATATATATATATATATATATATATATATATATGAGGCCAATAATGAGAATTCAAATAAAAGTAGAATATATATATATATATATATATATATATATATATATATAGAGAGAGAGAGAGAGAGAGAGAGAGAGAGAGAGAGATGATTTGTGAAAAAATACATGGGATTTATGTTTTGACTGGCTTTCAAGAAAAGTTTTTTAAATTTAATTGTCACTTAGATAATAAAGGAATTAGACAAATTCACATCCCAAACCTTATTATTTAAATCATAGACCTATTTATTCAACATTTTTTTTACATTTACCTGAATGTTTTAAAATATTTTCAGTCTAGTAACTCCTCAAATTGATAAGCACAATTACATTTCATGGTTAAAAAACATTGCAATCAGAATTAACCAAGAATCATATAATTTTTCTGGGTATTTCTCATCAAAATTGCCTCTTAAAACATTTAAATCTCTTCAGGGAGTGGGAAACATGACTAATAAAGGCTTTGTGACAGGTACTATGGTAACACCAATATTGAGAATTCAAATAAAAGTAGAATTTAATAACCCAAATTAAAGAAAAAAAAGTATATTCTCTCCACTTCCAGGACCATTAGCTAAAAGCAGACCCTGATATAACCTTATTTTTAAAGGAGAGAAGTCTCAGTTGTCATTATGAATAGTGATTGTACCTTAGGGTTTTAGTAGTAAGTTCGAAAGACATTTTTTTCAAAAAGGACATTTTCATTCTGGTGAGAAATTAGATCATTGTACACAGTATATATTTCCTTCTAAGTTTTGTATATGTAACAATTTCTTCTAAAAAAGACTACTAATTTTACACACACACACACACACACACACACACACGTAAAATACAAAACTTAGATGGAAATACATATATTGAATTGTTAAATATACAAAACATTTAATCACTATTCTCAAATTTACATTTTGGATTGTGGTCTTTCTTTTAGTCATAAGGCAAAATCTGTTCAGAATACTGCTGAGAATATTCTTTTCCCTTTTGTGATCAATTACATGTATATATCTAGATTGATGATTTGGGAAAAAATACATGGGATTCATGATTTGACTGGATTTCAAGAATCATTGTATTTAATTAGCACTTAGGTAATAAATGAATTAGACAAAATTCGCATTCCAAACATTATTATTCAAATCATAGACCTATTTCTTTAACATTTTTTCTTTTTTTCTTATAGTTTGTGTATTTGTGTGTCTGTATATATGCACATTTGTTTATTTAATCCGAATTCACTTCTCTTAGGGGTTAGTTAAATCACTTGGCTCTGTTAAAGACTATTAATATTGTTAAATTCAGTAGGATATTTTTAAAAAGAATTGTAGGGAAAACATCTCTGTTCTTGATATACATTATTATCTGTTATTGCAGGAGGATACAGACCACAATTACTATATATCTCGGATATATGGTCCATCTGATTCTGCCAGCCGGGATTTGTGGGTGAATATAGACCAAATGGAAAAAGATAAAGTGAAGATTCATGGAATATTGTCCAATACTCATCGGCAAGCTGCAGTAAGTGTTTTGACATTCAGGGTTCTTTTTTTCCTACTGTAAAAAAATAGTTGCTTTAGTTGGCATATAGCCATTTCTTATATAAGTTTGATAATTAAATATTAGAATAGTCTTATCTGTGGTAATCACTTTTCCAGTGTATTCAGTTCTGCAATTGTAATTTAGATTTAATTGCATATCAAGGTATTAAAGAAAATGAAGTTGAATTGTTTTGATAAACTACCATTAATTGAACCATTTTCTTAGTATATCTGATGAATGTATATTGGATTCAAAGTTGAGCTTTATCTTGGATTATTTTTAGTTTTCTTATAATCCATGAGTATATGGAACATTTTTAAAAATTACTCGAATTTGGTATCTTCCTATTTACATGGGTTTATTCTCTTGGTCTTGGATTTAACCAAAGATTTATCTGAAGTCATTTATGACTTAGATAACATATATAGACCAAATTATGGTCTTAAATAAAGACGTTTAATATAAAGAAAAAGAATAAAATTTAGAAAGGATCAGACTGATATTTTAAGCCTGGGCTGATTATTTCCTGTGTTTCCTGAAGTAAATAATTTAACTATTCCAAGGTGCTTTCTGCATGTGTAAACTGGAGATGAGAAGGAATATTAATACCAGCCTCCCTTGCCTTATGTGGTCACGAATAGCCTATTCAAGCACCAGCGTGAATGCTCAAATGCATTAGCTTTTTCAATCTTCACACCAGTCCTATAATTTAAATATTAGAAAATTACACATTGCAGATAAGAGAACTGAGGAGTCTTGGAAGATTCAGATAACCTACGCAAGGGTCTTCACCAGAAAATGATAAACTGGGAAGTTAAGCTAGGTTGCTAAGCTGATGCTCAAATTGTGTGTGTAAAATTTATTACATTTGGTTATCAGAATGTTCTTTGATTGTCATTTTATGATAAATGCCAGATTTAACATTTTAAAGGGTATTGGTTTTGCTGGCCTGGGTAACAGTGGTGATGCTGTCATCGATGAAGCCATGAGTTGTTGAGTTTAGTGTGACCCGGAGTGAAAAGAAAACAATTTTAACCTTTCAGGTGCCTTTGTCACTATCGATATAAATATAGAACTAATACAGTCAATGGCTGGAGTTATTTAGAGAGGTATTGATTTGATAAATGTTAAATATCAAAATTTTTGGTAGTGGCCTTCCTTGTTTATATGTAGATGTTTCTGTTATCAGATCAAATTCTAAAAGCTAAAAGGAAATTAGTATAGTATACCACGATGATTCATTTAATTTTCAGTATAGAGCACATGCTTCCTGAGTCTGAGAAGCACACGAAGTAGCTACCTTTCCTTGCTACATTCTGTCATCCGCCTCCACCCACTTTTTTCTATATTCAGACAACCCCAGGTAGGCAAGATGACAGACTTAGAAGTAATTCACTGTGGAATTTCAAACAGATTTTCAAAAGAAGGGAAAATAATAAAGATTAGATCCAAGCAGTGTCTATCTGGGATCTATTGCATTTGACAACCTTCCTACTATAGCACAGTGCTTGATAGTGTAAAATATACTTTGTGGAATTTTGAATGTTGGTGTATGCACATGGGAATTCCGTGACGTGGCTTAGTCCTAGTGTCAGCCACTATGGGTAATATATACAGGGAGAGGAAGAAGTTCCTCCAAATATTAGCTGAGTTCCCTATACAAATATGGCTACCACCTGTCTCCTCTTTGCCCTCCCCAAGGTAAGACACTTTGTCTCATGCCTCTCCTTAAAGAAGCCTGTTCTCTTTGCAATAGGGTTTACTTGGTTGCCTTGTGATGATTCTCTGGTTGTCTCTTGAAAAATGAAAAATGATAATATTGTAAATGGTCCGGTTTTCTTATTATTAGTGTGGCAGTGACATTGTTGCTTTTAACACTTGAGGTAGCCTCAAACATAAATGGAAAAACTTGAACTTCTGGTTGTAACTTAACTGGTGCTCTTTATGTAATTGTTAAATATATACAATTGTTAGAGGCTTTTCTTTTAACTACTCTGCCATTGTCATAACTTGGGTTCTTGGTTATCCATGAGTATGTAAGCCATTAACAAAAATTTCTTAAGAGAAATTGGTGGAAAAAGCTATCAGCGAAATTCAACATTTTTCGTGTTAAAAACACTCAAGAAACTAGGCATGGGAGGAACATACCTCAAAGTAATAAGAGCCATCTGTGACAGACCCACAGCTAACATTATACTGAATGGGCAAAAGCTGAAGCATTTCCTTTGAAAACTGGCACAACACAAGGATGCCCTGTCTCATCATTCCTATTCAACATAGTATCGGAAGTCCTAGCCAGAGCAATCAAGCAAGACAAAGAAATAGAGCATCCAAATACGAAGAGAGGAAGTCAAATTGTTCCTGTTTCCAGATGACATGATTCTGTATTTAGAGACTCTATAGTCTAGGCCCAAAATCTCCTTTAGCTGATAAGCAACTTCAGCAAGTTTCAGGATACAAAATCAATGTTCAGAAATCCCAGGCATTCCGATACACCAACAACAGCCATGCCAAGAGTCAAATCAGAAAGGCAGTCTCATTTACGATCGCTACAAAAACAGTAAAATACCTGGGAATACAGCTAACCAGGGAAGTGAAAAATCTCTGCAATGAGAATTACAAAACACTGCTCAAAGAAATCAGAAAAGACACAAACAAATGGAAAAAAACATGCTAGTGAATAGGAAGAATCAGTATCATTGAAAAGGCCATACTGCCCAAAGCAATGTACAGATTCAGTGCTCTTCCTATCATACTACCAATGACATTCTCCACAGAACTAGAAAAATTTATTTAAAATTTTTATGGAACCGAAAAAGAGTCCAAATAATCAAGGCAATTCTAAGCAAAAAGAACAAAGCTGGAAGTACTGTGTGGCCCAACTTCAAATTATATTGCAGGGCGGCAGTAACCAAAACAGCATGTTACTGGTACAAAAACAGGCACATAGACAAACGGAACAGAATAGAGAACCCAGAAATAAGGCCACACACTTATGACCATCTAACCTTCAACAAACCTGACAAAAACAAGCAATGGAGAAAGAGTTCCTATTCAATAAATGGTGCTGGGATAACTGGCTAGCCATATACAGCAGATCGAAGCTAGATCCTTCCTTACACCATATACAAAAATTCAACTCAAGGTGGATTAAAGGCTTAGATGTAAAATTCTAAACTATAAAAACTCTTGAAGACAACCTAGGCAATACCATCCTGAACATAGTAACAGGCAAAGATTTTAAGATTTTATGACAAAGACACCAAAATGCAATCACAACAAAAGCAAAAGTTAACAAATGGAATCTAATTAAATGAAAGAGCTTCTGCACAGCAAAAGAAACTATCAACAGAGTAAAGAGACAACCTAAACAATGGGAGAAAATATTTGCAAGCTATGCATCTGACAAATGTCTACTATCTAGCATCTATAGGGAACTTAAACAAATTTACAAGAAAAAAAACCATTAAAAAGTGGACAAAGACATGAACAGACACTTTTCAAAAGAAGACATACATGCAGCCAACAAGCATATGAAAAAATGCTCAATATCACTGATCATTAGAGAAATGCAAAACAAAACCACAGTGAGATACCATTTCATACCAGTTAGAATTGTTGTTATTTAAAAGTAAAAAAAAATAATAATAATAACAGATGCTGGTGAAGTTGCAGATTAAAGGGAACACTTATACACTGTTGGTGGAGGTGTAAATTAGTTCAACCATTGTGAAAAGGAGAATGGTGATTCCTTAAAGACCTAAAGACAGAAATACCATTCAATCCAGCAATCCTATTACTGGGTATATACCCAGAGGAATGTAAATCATTCTACCATAAAGATACACATGTGAATGTTTATTGCAGCACTATTTATAAAAGCAAAGACATGGAATCAACCTAAATGCCCATCAATGACAGATTGGATAAAGAAGTGTGGTACATTTACACCAGGGAATACTATGCAGCCATAAAAAAGAATAAGATCATGTCTTTTGTAGGAACATAAATGGAACTGGAGGTCATTATCCTTAGGAGACTAACCCAGAAACAGGAACCAAAAGCTGCCTGTTATCACTTTTAAGTGGAGCTAAATGATGAGAAGTTATGAACACAAAGTAGGGAAAAAATAAATATTGGAGTCTACTTTAGGGGGAAGATGGAAGGAGGGAGAGGAGCAGAAAAGGTAACTATTGGGTAATAGGCTTAATAGTTGGGTGATGAAAAAATCTATACAACAAATTCCCATTACATGAGTTCACCTGTGTAACAAACTTTCACACATCTTGCTGATCCCAAAACAAAGGTTTAAAAAATCGTGTATGTGCTATTATGGTTATACTGTAGCTCAAGACCCAATATACACTTAGGGTTGGATTCATTATTAATGACAATGGAGGTTAAACTCTGTTTTAAATAGGGTTTTCCCTTAATTTTGAGCATTTTTTGCGTATGTCTTGTCGGATTTGATTCCATCATTATGGCTTTTACTTTATGACACGTTTCATGCAAGGCTGACTCAGTACAGAGCTTTGCTATCCATGGTCTTGTGCTCTCCTCTGCTTTCATTTATCAGTATAAAAAACAAATCTGTTATTTCATAGGTCTAGGATGGGCCAGAAAATTTACATTTCTGACAAATTCCAAGGTCGTTCTGATGCCGCTAATCCAGGGACCATTCTTGAACTCTATAGCAGGGGGTGGCAACCTGTTTCTCTAAAGGGCCAGATGATATTTTAGTTGCTGCAGGCCTTATGGTCTCTGTCACAACTACTCAACTCTATTGTTATAGCTCAATAGCCATAGACAATATGTAAATGAACAGTCATGGTTGTGTTCCAATAAAACTTTATTTATGGAAATAAAATATTGGACCTGTATCTACTTTGTTATTACTCTCAACAGAAAACACACACACACAAAAAGCACACTTACACACAAAAACATACACACATACTTCCATTTATAACATAAGATTG